TCTCCTATTCATAATTGCTTGTAAATATGAAAGACCTTCCAATGACTAAGTGTCGAGCTAAGTGAGCATTCCGATGATAGCTCTCTGACAATTACCCACTTATTTAATGTTTGAGACTTTTTTTTAAAGAAAGAATTCCTGCAGAGTAGGATATGGAATTTTCTTGAATAATCCGCAAGCCCTTGCTATAGGCTAAAAGAAAGAAGAATCTTTTTATTCCTCAGACTTAACTGCTTCCACTAAAAGAAAACAGAAACCCACCCACCCTACCTGTTGATCTCAGCACCGGCTCTGCTAGCATTAAACCTTCATCAGCTTAGCACACTGAATGAACTGGCTGTTGACAAAGGAGCGGAAGTCCCCAAACCTGCTCTGTATCCACCTGGTTTGCATACAGTTTTTTCCGTTTAGCACATCAGGTGCTGCCCGAAGCGCCCACCTTTCATTAACCTAACTGAGACCCTTTATTCGCTGCAAGTTCTCGGGTTAGTGGAACCACCCTGTCTTTCTCATGGGATAGGTAGCGCACCTGGGACAAGTCTATTAATTCTGTTTCACTCATATTTACAGAACACCTACTTCATGCCGAGAGTTTTCACGTAATTATATACGTGAGGATGGGTATTATTAAGGTCTATTTATAGTTGAGAAAGCCAAGGGCAAGAGAAGGTAAGTGCTTTGGTTGCTCAAGAACACAGGAGGTAACAGAACTGGAATTCTTAATGGACATCCTGAGGATGAGACCGGTGTTCAACACACCATGTTATCTACCTGTCCTTGACTCAAACTCACTGCCATGGAGTCCATGCCAACTCACAGCAACCCTGTGGGACAGGGTAGAACTGCCCCGGTGGGTTTCTGAGACTGTCACACCCTATGGGAGTAGAAAGCCTCATCTTTCTCTCAGGGATGAACTTTTGCATTCTCTTGTACATCCAAACATCATCTGTGCTTGTATCTCCCCACAGAAGATTAGAACAATCCACCACTTTTAACAAAATTTCTATTGGCCAAAGTACTTTCAGGCCTGTTTATCGTAATTACCCAAGAATGTCCTATGGTTAATGAAATGTGGCTTCACACAGATGGTTGTAGGTCACACAGGTCTCTACACGGACTTCTCACACAAGCCTTTTTGGCAGCAGGGTGTTTCTTCTGTGATATGACACCCGCTGCCACCGAGCTGAGCCCAATTCACAATGGCCCAAAGAACAGACTAGAACTGCCCTGTACGGTTTCCAACATTCTAAGGAAGCGAACTGCCTCATCTTTTCCCCATGGAGTGGCTGGTGGTTTCAAACTAGCAGCCACGTGCTGAAGCGCCTCCTATAAGCCACATTTGATAAAAATCAGAAACGTGAGAGCTGCATTTGAACATCCAAGGATAGAACTGCTGGAGTCAAATGTGCAACTCTGTTGAAAATGGACGACATTTCTGAGAACAGCCCGGGTCCTTACTGGGTAACAGCAATGTTCTAAGTCCTCAACCCACTTATCTATTAACCAACACCCTGTGAGGGAGGTACTGTAACTACCTCCGCTTTCCAAATGAGAAGACTAGGGCAGAGGGAAATTAAATAACTTGTCCTTGATTATACAGCTATGCAGCTCAGAGCCATAATCTGTCCCAAGCTGTCTGAGCACAGAGCCTGAGCTCAAACTGCTATGCTACCCAGCGTCTCCAAATGCACTATAGTCTTAGTTGGTTCATGAAACATACTACCGACTTTTTCATACACCTACGTCATACTAGCTACATAGGGCCACAAGTCAGACATTTGGTGATCATGATTCTCATCGATCGATATACTATACATGCATATATACACACATCAAACTCAAAGCCAACTCCAATTTAGTATAGAAATGAAGAATACTCCTAGTAACACGGTTTCAGCTTTCGGGACGATTCACCCTGAATCCTGTCACAATTCTGCATTTTAGGGCCAAGCCCTGAACATGGGTCAACATGTGCTCACTATTGGCTGCCCACGACCGGCCGGGGGTCTGTGGGGCCTCTGCACTTTCACGCTGCCCTGTGCTGAATCAGGCAGGGGCCGTCTACTCCCGACACTTGGCATCAGGGGACTCTGGGCCCACTGGTTCTGCCCAGACTTGCCGCCCACACACAGCGTCCAAAATGGCTGTGCAGTTTCATGTTTCCGCGCTGTGGCCGGTGCTGTGGAGAGGGTGTAGGAGGTGGCTTCATATCCCCAGCCCATCCGACATCCCAGCCTTCAAACACTGGAGCTGCCTCGTTCAGAAAGTGGATACTTTCCTGAAGTAAATCCTTAACAACTTAGTCTCTTTTAGGGCACACATGAGAACGAGCAGTTGGCAGGGTAGGAAGATGGAAGCAACAGCCAACAAGTTCACAGCCGAGCAGGACTGAAGTGAGGCTGGAGAGGCCCTGTGAGCGAGACAGGGATCGGGAAGCTGTAAAACTCTCTTGGAGCATCGCCATGACTCACACAGGGAGAGGCCCCTCCGAGGGCTGCTGAGACCAAGTGTTGGGAGGACTTGTTCAGACTCAGGTTTCCGGGCCAGTAGATCTGAGCGGAGGCTGACAATGTGCCTTTCTCCAAAGTTGCCTGGTGATGCAGACGCTGCAGGTCCAGGAACCACGCTTCAAGAACTACCAGACTAGGGCCGCAGGGTGGGCAAGCCCATCCCATCCACTGTAGGTACACAGTAGGATCATTATTTTCTGAGTTGCATAGCGTGTAAGTCCCAGCATTTTCCCTCCTCTGCCTCCCTGTCACTCAGTGCCTTTGGCTGAGGTTTACAGGCAAAGAGACGGCAGTTCTGCCCTACTCTCCCATCAGTATCAACCTCCTGCTATTTAACTACCCCTTATCCTATGATCTGGAACCCTGATGGCTTAATGGTTATACGTTGGGTTGTGATCCGAAAGGTCGGCAGTTTGAAACCACTCACCGAAATGGAGAAAGATGGGACTTTATGGGATCATAGTTAGTCTCAGTCATTCAGAGACATTTCTTCTTCCCAAGGCCTACAGGGTCTCTATGAGTTGGCATCGACTTGATGAGAGTGAGTTTGGTTTTGAGTGTTTAAATGATATATGATATGATAACAGGGTCGCTATGACCCCCGGAAACCACTCAAGGGCCGTGGGTTCTATGATATGATGTAAAAAGTGCTTCACCGTTTGCAAAGTACTCTCCTATTCATAATTGCTTGTAAATATGAAAGACCTTCCAATGACTAAGTGTCGAGCTAAGTGAGCATTCCGAAGAGACTGGTGCTTAAAGAGGCGGGTGGGGTGGGGGCAATAGGGCTGAAGACCACCCTCTCCCCTTTGCATATGCAGCTCAGAATGCGAGCGTGGGTTTGCCTCCCTCGGAGTCTTCTGGAGGGGGGTCCTCCTCGTCTCCCTCGCTGAAGGATTGTACCAAAGGTGCGAAGTTAGAGCAAAGAAGTAGTGGAGGTAAACATCCCCATGGCACCTCCTCCCCGCCTAAGAAACTGAGTGGGTGCGGGGGGATCTCCGGGAGAGTCTTCCCTGGGAGGGTCCCTCACGCATCTGTTCAAGCCGCATCTCCCACCGCCCGCTGCCCCAGCCCCTACTCCGCACCCCGCTCTCCGCAATGCTAAAACGCAGCAGCGTCGCCCTCCACGCCTCTCCTGGGGGATCGCGCAGTGCAACCAACCCTAACAACGTGGCGGAGCGACGCCCCCTCAGCCCTGCGCGCTCGCCATTGGCCGGTTGCCGTCGCCCCGCCCTCCTTGCCTCGCCTTCCCTCCCCGGCGGAGGCGGGGTAGGTTGCGCGCTCGCCG